TACAAATTATGGAAGAATTGTTGGAAATTCCATACCTCTGACTGAATATTATGAAAGAAACCATCATCTGTTTGGGTGGAGACACAGGAGTAACATCAAGTCCTTCTTCAAGCACAACTTCAAGAATCTTGAAAGAATCAAGCCTCCTCTCTAAGGACACATATTTATCACAATTCCACTCCCCGCAGTAAGGGCTTACGGTGACACTGCTATTTGTTAAACGGTTACTAGAAGTTGCATTTCCATGGTCAAGACCATCTAAATCTGTATAAATTTAAGATTATCTCTCTTCGAACTCAAGTCTTGGATTTTCTTCTCCAGGTTTTTAATATAATTCACAGCCTCATTTATTTGATCACTCCCGAACGTTTTCCCTGTAACCCACCACAAACCCTATAAGCATAATTATGAAAATAAAGATGAATTACAGTAATATCAAGTCAAGAGCAAAGGGTAGTCGGTTGTTTTCATTTAAGTCTGAATTCCAATCAGTAAACTTATCCTAGTTATATATGATTGAAGGAAAAGATGAGAGAAATATAGAGGTTCTGACCTTAATAGATTCAAGAGGGAGCAATGATCGAAGTGATGCGTTAAGCATGGACATGTGTTGTCTTCTTGCCGTTCGATTTCCTTACGTAAGATCTTTCTTCTCAGAATCATTAAAATTATCACTTCCATCATTGTCTTTTGCGAAGCTAATATTTTATGTGTTTGCCCTTTCTCATTTTGTGGTTAGGTTACTTCCCTCCAGCGAAGCTTGACCCAGGAATATCAGATCCGTTGAATGCAATTCTTCTTGGTGGGGATTTAGTGGATCAAGAAATCGCACTTTGCTTAGGAGGAACATTGAAAAAGACTCTTAAGCTTCAAGTGATATCTTTCCAGTAAAATGGAGTTAAAGAATAGATACGCTTGTCAGAGTGTGAACCTTTAATTATCCTAAGATGCAAAGATTCTGATCTGCAATCTCTTAATTGGCCAGGAGAGATAAAGTGATTTGGGGGGCAGGCGGCACTGTTAATTGCTTTTTTCCTGCTGAAATTGCAACTCCCAACACTCATAAATGGTGGACCAGCATGTCGGTAACGTTATTTTGGCTCATAGTGTTAAAGTGTTTTTAATTTGGTTTTGAGGAAGATGAAGAAGAAGGGAAGGAGATTAAAGGTGAGTAATTCTGCAATCAAGAGCATGCATATCACGAAATGCAACTTTAACTTGTACCGATAAAATTAATCTTAGACAAAAATGCTTGGGAAACCCCATCTCTCGTTAATTACTTGAGATGATTTAATTTCTTAATTAATAATACAGTGTACACAAGAGCACTAAATCTAATTACTTCAATGCTGAGAACTACGATGTTTGTAAGCCAATCAATAGAAGTGGTTGGTAGGTGCATGATCCATATGTTGTAGTAGTTATGTCTTTCAGAAAATAAGGATCATCAGGTCATGACAAGAATAAAAATATATGTGGCAAATTAAGATGGGTTCTACAAATGATGTTTTATTTATTTGTTTCATATTTTAGCGTATAAGCTAAGATAATTAATACGTGCACGAGGAGAACCCAAAACCAACGGTATCAAGGCAACGATCCTGAAGATACAATTTCTTATATTTTATACACAATGCATAAGTTAGACATCTACAAGATTATGGTGATATTAAGAAATATTAATGAGATAGGCAATGATGCACTTGCCGTGAAGCTAAAATTTTGACCGAATAAAATATATATATTAAGAGACCCATTGTAGAGGCAGGCAGTTTAATTAAGCTGTGAGTTTAGTAATTCATTCTCTTCTCAAAAGTTGATTTCTGCTTTGCTTCAATTTGTGATGACTTGATTAGTGGTGAAATCACATTATGGTAGGTTGATGAATATCAGCTCCTAACTACCGAGATTATGAGATGATGTTGAGAGTGTCGGACCGAATTCTTGCTTGAATATTTAATTTATCTTTCATCTGTAATGGTTGACATGGGTCTTATTAATCAAATTTTACTAAGTGAATTTTGAGCTTTATCTTAGTTTTATGACACATGAAATTAATGATCCTAAAGCAGTGTGTTCACTGCTTGACCTCATCGTCTCCTTTAGTTTTGTTATCAGTAACTCATTACGGTTTCGTTTTTGAGTTGTAAATAGCTTTGGGCCGAGGTGAATATTTCGATCATCTGGAAATTGCTTAAACTAAGAGATTTTTTTTTTTTTTTTTTTGGTGGGAAATGATAATTACAAAAGAAAAGAAACTAAGAACAACTCAGAAGATTGTTAAAGAAGACTAAAACAGATGCGTTCATCTTTTTAGACATAAGGATGAGAATATGTGATCATGTGAATGCTTTAATCGAGCCATACATTTAACTTTTGTGTTATTGGTTCAAACCTTAAAACAGTAATTTTGTTTCTTTATTTGTGTGTAAGTCAGCAACCATTTCATTTGGAAAAGTTTTGGCATAAAATCTTATCGATTATACTTGATTGATAATGCTCCCCTCTCAATGGTTGTTTAATTCATTCCATGACTCTCCCCAAATATTTACCTATGTGATTGCATACACAACTTTACATGATGCAATTAAAATGAGCAATGTGATTATATATAACTATCACATAAGTGTATAAGGATCAATAAAAAATTAGAATAAATGATATGATAATCAACTTATCATATCATAACTTTTATGATACAGAGCTTTCAATTTATTGTCCTCGAATAAGAAGTTAGAAATAAGGGTTTGTTTTGATTTGTGATTTTAAAATGGTTTTAAAAATTAATAATACAATTCAAAAATTTAAGTTGAATTGTTAATATTTGACAAGCAACTTAGATTGCCTTGTGACAGTAATTTTTTTTTTTAATTATTGATCATATAAATTTCCCATCTTTTTCATTCATATGAGCATCATTAGCTTAATTAAGGCCAAGTAGCCTAAACCTAATTAGTAAATGGAGTTCATTTGATCAATCTTAACATATTAAGCCAAGCTCTAAGCTCTTAATTGATACTGCTCGACTATTAAACAATTGAATAAAGGATGTGAAAATCATGTGTGTGCTAGTGGGTGAAATTTTTATTGGTTTCACATAACATACAGTAAAAAATAGAAATCATCATATAATATTATAATGCATTCTCTTTTACGTTTAGAACCTTTTATAATTAGTGAACAGTAATAAGGTAGAGAGAAACATCTTTATAATTAGTGAGTATAAATGTTTCTATTCATAAAATTAACAAGAATGCTACAATTTTTCAATTGGATTATATACTCGGAAAATACTGAAATTTATAGTCTCAATTGAGTAAATGCCATCTCATTGAGGAACTATTTATATTTGGGATACAAATTTCCTAAGTGAACGTAGTATTGCTCTTTTTACTTCTAATCAAATTGGTACGACAAAATGGATATAGATCTCCATTCTAAGGTAGCTAAATTGTTTGCCTTTTTTTCCAATCTTCTCTTCTTCCGGATAATACTGCCTTTCAGTCTAAGAACAGGATCTCATGGATGAAGTTCAATATTGAAATGAGCAGCCTCTCAGTCTAAGAATTGGATCTGATTAATTAAAATAGCAGACTACGAAACTGGTCTGGTAAACGGGCAATCTCAACTCTCAAGTACGTGAATCCTCAAACTAACCAATTTCAATCTTTACAAAATGCCAGTAAGTAATAAAATCCTAAATAGATCAATAAACAACGTACATATGAATAATCTAACCTTCAATATATTAGATGTTTTAAAACTTAAAACATCTAAGAATCACTTTTAAACACCAATGGTAAAGTATATATAAACCAGATCTAGAATGAGTCTCCAGTTAAACCATTCTAATAATTAGAACTTCGTACTCTCAGTTGTCAATTCCGTATTAGTACATCCATGCGTGCTGCATTTCTGAAGTGAAGAAGAACAAGAAAGGGAGAACTTGATAGCTTACTAAGCAACTATAACCATTGCTGTAATCATAAAGTATGCCTTTGGTATAGTTTAACCTTTAAACGTTAGTAAAAATTGCAAGCCTTATTTCACAAACATAGAGGGTTATAAAAGAGAGTAAACTTTTTAATGAAATTCATCTAATTAAATTAACAATGTTATGTACATACTAATTTGTCCAAAACATATAGAGTATATATATATATATATGTATGTGAGTGTGTGTGTGTGTAGCATTTCAATGATATTAGTCTATACAGTTAATTAATTATTACAATTTTTTACTCTAATGTCTTTTCTAAATTCCAGGGTTGAGCTATATATACATGCAATAAGAGAGTTGAACATAAATCGCTAGCGTTAATTCTAATTTTTTCTCATTTGAGCTCTATGAACACCCATACCATAAGAAAATGCAAACCTATCTATTTTAGCTCGTTAACTAATATTACCAATCGGGTTACTTTTTGCACAATCAATTATAGTACCTAAAGAAAATCTGATTTGAAACTTATATATATGGAAGACACACTATAAACATAAAGAGGGGAGATACTAATATTACTTGTATTTCATGCGGCCACCATTTAGATAATCAATAAATATACTGGACTTGTATTATTTTGGCTTAAGTGCATGACCAGTTAATTAGTGTTTTGGTTGATTAGATGGGGGATCCGCTTCTTTTATGAAGTGAAGTCTCATCTTGGGTCCTTGTCTCATGTATAATCAAATTCCCACGGTGTTGAAGAAAAATTAATCAAGACAACGACACGCATGAAGTGTTATATTTCTTTGGAACCTCTATGATGATTTCACTTGATTACAGAAACGATTGAGGACGACAACATGGGACTCCTAGTAAAATCCTATTGCAGTCACCATATATTAGGCCGTCTCTTGATAATTTTCTGACAAAGACTCTCAAACACAATCAAACGTACTTCATATATATGCTATCAAAATTAAAGCATAAAGGTAGTAGAGTGTACGGGTACCTAAAAAATCATGGAATAAACGCATACAAGAAATGTCAATTAGCTTCATGATGATGCAGTCATCACTTCAAGTAGCTTTTGTTGCAGTCCTGATACATCGACGAATGTAGGATCATCTCTTGCCTGTTAAGAAGTATAATTGATTCGTGAAATTAATTAACATCCCTCTTGCGCTTGAAAAAAGCATGCAAATTTTGAGATCATATAGATTAAATATAAGAAAAACTCATATACCTAAGACGATATTAATAAATACAGTGTACCTGAGTTTGGAGAGTGAGAAGTAACATTTCATCGTTTACTTTTGTGGAGACACAGTTAACAACATCAAGTCCTTCTTTAAGCAGAACCTCAAGCACCCTTGATAGGGGCAAACCTGGCTCCTTGAAGCTGCTGTAGCTGATCACAACCTCGAGTCCACCTGATAAACATGGATGGACCATGACACTACGGCAAGGCAGTCTATCATTTGTGCTTCCACTCACGCCGGGGCTTGAAACACTCAAATCCGACTTCTTTAGCTTATCTCTCTTGGCGCTCAGCTCTGTGATCCTTTTCTTCAGATCATTTATATAATTTACAGCCCCGTTTATGTGATCCGAGATCGAACGCTTTCCCTGAAACCCCAATCAACATAACCCTAAGTCAAGAAAAACCAGAAATCTTTTATCCTTATAAAAGGGAAAGAGAAAGAAAATTATTTTACCTTGATATGCTCAAGAGGGAGAAGAGATCTAAGCGATGCGTGAAGGACAGACATTTCTCGCCTTCTTTGCTTCTCCATGTCCCTATGCATCGTTTTCTTTTGGTGATTATCACTTGCATTCTCACAGTTGCCACTGACAGACAATTTTCGCTGCTGGCTTTCTCTAGAGCTACTGCCATCCATTGAATTGTGAGCAAAGATAAGGTTCTTTGGAATTATGTTTTGTTGCTGGCTATACAGGGGAGAAATCTGCTGGAAGTGCAGTTCATTACGTTTGTTGAGATGTGAGATCTTCGATGGGCTACGATTCCAGTATTTTCTGCGCCTACAAGAGGATATAAGAAGTTACTTCATTAGACACAGTAAAGTTCATTAATTGGTGCCCACTGTAATTTTTTCTTCCCTGAAAAGTCCATAAAAGTTTGAATCCGATATTATATTAAGAGGGCTATCAAACAATTAAAAGGAGAGTTTCACACTTAAAACTTGATGAATAATAAAAGAGATCGGAGAATTAATATCCTGCATTTAAGTATCCCGGGCTTATTGGTGGTAAAACCTTTAATAAACATAATAGAAGAGTTCTTTATCACACAACCTCTTGAAGCGAGATTGTAAAAATAGGATTGCCAAAGAGGAAGATCTTTGACTCTTGACTCTTCCAACATACTTACATTTATTAATTAATTGATGAGTTCTGTGTATTGCTTGCCATGAATACTTTTCATTAACTTTCTTTCATAGATGCGATGTAACAGTTCACAATTAATCAGTTCACATTTGATCAAGCGGGACCTATTACGATCTAACAAATTACGAACTAATACGTCGCGTACATGAGATAAAGTTAGTGAGAAGTATTTGTCATTATAATATTACTCTATTGCCATACTAGATACTTCATTACAATTATAATTTCCATTCCATATCTTTTAAGTATTTTGCATCGATATTAATAGCAAATTTATATTGAAATTCTTACAAAAGAAAACATTTCACTTAATATATATAAATGATAACATGTAGGGATCTCATTTGATGAAAATTTTCTTCCATTCACATCAGCATATTTTAAAAATCTAAACTATATATAAATTAAGACAATTAAATAAAATTCTTAATTTTTATTTCAGTAAGAAGATCAGCAAGAGAAATAAACTACTTATTTACAAATCAAGGAGTGCAAGCATAACCACCACTGAGTGATCCAACAGTCAACTAAATTCTTGAGTGTATTACTCAAGAGGTCCTAAATTTGATTTATTGGGTTGTTGCATTTACTCGGTTGTGTATACATTCGGACAACCACAGTAAAAAAAAAAAAAAAAGGTGTAACACGTATATGAAATAAATTTTACTCATTTTCAAGGGAAGAATTAAATTGATATACTTTGTTGCATGTTTGGCATGGTTGATGAGTTAAAATAATATATTGACTCGATTTTATTTAATCTGACGGTAAGTTTGACTTAATCTTATAGGATCACGTATTAAGTGATTAAGAAAAATGGCAAGGACAATTTGGATTGGACTGCTTGTCTTTATCAGCAAGCAACACATGGGTTCTACTGTATATATTGTTTAATTATAGCATTCTTGACTGTAACATAAAAGAAAACCACAATCGTACCAATCAACCCGACCCTAACCCAACTTTAACAACATTTTTTTTAATTGCTTCCCCACTTTAGGAAAATAGTTTCCAGCTTCATATTCTTTCTGCAAAGGCAAAATCAATACAAAATATATGCAACTTTTTGGGGATTCCACTTGACAGAATAGCATTGGCTGAAGAAAGAAATTATAATTTCAACAAAGCAATAATTTAAATCTTTTTTTAATTAAATAGTACAACATATATCACAGTTCACATATAGAGGAAAAGACCATTAGAAAAAAGAATTTCCAATATGATAACTGAAATAATAAAATAATCCTTTCCACATTGAGATATTTAAAGATCATATATAATACCCCCTAAATCTAATCGCACACATTACATTTCTATTTTTAAAATTCTAACTCCTTCAACCGCCATCTTGTCAATATAATTAAGTTTATTAGATTTAGTTGTTTGTTGCACACCATCAAATCTTTTAGTTAGATGATGTGAATAATATGTCTTGTTGAGTTGGGCCTGGATATTTTAGCGTAATAGAGAATAAAAAAAGAAAAACGGAAGAGAGCATTACTGGTGTGTTTTCTGGAGACTGAAGAAGAACGTACAGGAAAGGCATATTTGAATTTGTCGCCAAAGTGGTTGGTAATGCAAGCAGAAATATCAACAGTATCAAAAGAAGATCTTTAGATATCCTATATTTTATTTGCAGAGCCGCTTAGAATATGACAAGAGGCTTTAGTTAATGCAGTGTAGATAAAATTCAGACTGGCTTCGGTAGCTGCTCCTAGGGGTGAGCACGGGTAACGGGTAGAACCGGAACCGGGGGTAAGAACCGGAACCGGAACCGGAACCTACCCAGAACCTGCACTGTGCGGGTAGGTTCCGGTTCCAATTTTTTGGAACCGCTACTGTGCGGTTCCGGTTCCGGTTCTTGCATGTGGAGGAACCGGAACCGGAACCGAAACCTGTAAGGAACTTATTTATCACAATGTCCACTCCCCCGCAGTAAGGGCTACGGTGACACTGCTATTTGTTAACGGTTACTAGAGTTGCATTTCCATGGTCAAGGCCATCTAAATCTGTAAATTTTAAGATTATCTCTTCGAACTCAAGTCTTGGATTTCTTCTCCAGGTTTTTAATATAATTCACAGCCTCATTTATGTGATCACTCACTGAACGTTTTCCCTGTAACCCCACCAACAAAACCTAAGCATAATTATGAATAAAGATGAATTACAGTAATTTCAAGTCATGAGCAAAGGGTAGTCGGTTTGTTTTCTTATTTTAAGTTCTGAATATCCAATCAGTAAATATTATCCTAGTTAATATATGATGAAGAAAAAGAGATGAAAGATATGGAGGTTCTGACCTTAAGATTCAAGAGGGAGCAATGATCGAAGTGATGCGTTAAGCATGGAATGTTTGTCTTCTTTGCCGTTCGATTTCCTTACGTATGATCTTTTCTCAGAATCATTAAAATTATCACTTCCATCATTGTCTTTTGCAGAAGCTAATATTTTATGTTGTTTGCCCTTCTCATTTTGTGGTTAGGTTACTTCCCTCCAGCGAAGCTTGACCCAGGAATATCAGATTGTTGAATGCAATCTTCTTGGTGGGGATTTTAGTGGATCAAAAAATCGCCACTTTGCTCAGGAGGAAACATGAATAAAGACTCTTCAAGCTTTCAAGTGAGATCTTTCCAGTAATAAGAGTTAAAGAAATAGATACGCTTGTCAGAGTGTGAACCCTTTAATTATCCTAAGATGCACAGATTCTGATCTGCATCTCTTAATTGGCCAGGAGAGATAAAGTGATTTGGGGAGGCAGGCGGCCCTGTTAATTGTTTTTTCCTGCTGAAATTGCAACTCGCCAACACTCATAAATGGTGGACCAGCATGTCGGTAACGTTATTTTGGCTCATAGCTTTAAAGAGTTTTTTAATTTGTGTTTTGAGGAAGATGAAGAAGAAGGGAAGGAGATTAAAGGTGAGTAATTCTTGCAATCAAGAGCAGCATATCACGGAAATGCAACTTAACTTGTACGATAAATTAATCTTAGACAAAAATGCTTGGGAAACCCCATCTCTACGTTTAATTACTTTGAGATGATTTAATTTTCTTAATTAGTAATTACATGTACACAAGAGCACTAAATATAATTACTTCAATGCTGAGAACTACGATGTTTGTAATGCCAATCAATAGAAGTGTGTGGTAGGTGCATGATCCATATGTTGTAGTAGTTATGTCTTTTCAGAAAGATAAGGATCATCGGTCATGACAAGAATAAAAATATATGTGGCAAATAAGATGGGTTACAAATGATGTTTTATTTATTTGTTCATATTTTAGCGTATAAGACTAAGATAATTAATACGTGCACGAGGAGAGTCCACACCAACGGTATCAAGGCAACGATCCTGAAGATACAATTTTCTTATATTTTATACACGATGCATAAGTTAGACAATCTAAAGATTATGGTATAAATATTTAAGGAATATTAATGAGATCAAGGCAATGATTTTGTTTCCTATCTTTGCCGTTGAAGAGCTAAAATTGTGACCGAATAAAATATATATATAAGAGACCCCATTGTAGAGGCAGGCAGTTTATATAGCTGTGAGTTTAGTAATTCATTCTCTTCTCAAAAGTTGATTTCTGCTTTGCTTCAATTGTTGATGACTTGATTATCTGGTGAAATCACATTATGGATAGGTTTGAATGCATACAGCTCCTAACTACCGTGATTATGAGATGAGTGTGAGTTGTGTCGGACCGAATTCTTGCTTTTGAATATTTTAATTTATCTTTCATCTGTAATGTTTGACATGGGTCCTTATTAATCAAATTATGCTAAGTGAATTTTGAGCTTTATCTTAGTTTTTATGCACACATGAAATTAATGATCCTAAAGCAGTGTGTTCACTGCTTGACTCTCAATCGTCTCCTTTAGTTTTGTTTATTCAGTAACTCATTACGGTTTCGTTTTTTGAGTTCGTAAATAGCTTTGGGCCGAGGTGAATATTTCGATCATCTAGGAAAGTTTGCTTAAACGAAGAGATTTTTTTTTTTTGGGGGGTGGGAAATGATAAATTACATGAAAGAAAAGAAACTAAGAACTACCCTCAGAAGATGCTTAAAGAAGACTAAAACAGGCGTCCATCTTTTTAGACATAAGGATGAGAATATGTGATCATGTGATATGACTTTAATCGAGCCATACATTTAACTTTTGTGTTATTGGTTCACATAACCTTAAAACAGTAATTTTGTTTCTTTATTTGTGGTAAGTCAGCAACCATTTCATTTGGAAAAGTTTTGGCATAAAATCTTATCGATTATACTTTGATTGATAATGCTCCCCCTCTCAATTGGTTGTTTAATTCTATTCCGTGACTCGTCCCCAAATATTTAGCAAAGTGATTGCATACACAAACTTTACATGATGCAATTAAAATGAGCAATGTGATTATATATAACTATCACATAAGTGTATAAGGAGAAATAAAAATTAGAATAAAGTATATAAACCAGATCTAGATGAGTTTTCCTTAAACGT